TTAGCAGTTCAGAATAACCAACTATAGCAGTTCAGAATAACCAACTCAGGCAGAAGTGACTGGTTTTTGTCAAGAGAAATTATGCCATTTACAGCTTAGCAATCATCTTCTGTTTAGAGGATCTCCATCCATTTGAGTAAGGCAGTTTTCTGCCTGATTTGCACCTCAGGAGAAAACCAGAAGTTCAGCCAAAATGTTACTCAATTACTATGAGCCCTCCAGGAAATCTCACAGACAGGTATGAAATCAATTCAACTTGACTTTGTTATTTTGAAGGACAATGGGGGCAAAATAAGATGAACTTGAGGATGACAGCATCTGATGGTTTTGTTTCTCTGCATTAACACTACAAATAGAAGGAGGAGGAGGAGTTACAAAAGAAGATCTCATGTGAAAGGTGAGGTAGATTCAGTGCACAGTGAGGACACTGTCACCACAATAAATCCTTCAGAAATTGTGATTCTTGCATGGTCAAAATAGTCATGAAGGATGACAGGAGGGTGCCTCACAGTGGTTCCAGCTGTCTGGGACGTGACCAAAGGTACAAAAACTATTTCTTTTTTTGAGACTTCTTTTTATTTTGAATGTGAAAAAGATTAGAGACATGGAAGCTTTGCATCTAACAGAGCCTATCCAAGCATGGCTCTTCACCTGGTACTAACTGGTGTCACTCTTTCTAAACAATGAAAATATTTTGCATTAATCTCTAAGTTAGTGCCTTTGTTTTCAAGTGGATATGTTTTCAGGTTAGAGGAAAGGGCAGAGGATGCCAGCTGAATAAAAAACCATTCCAAATACTGGCACTTTTCATGGTATCATGTCTATATTCCACAAAGGCAAGCAACAGTATGATGGGTGTAACATTTGGATTAAACCCATACTTTGTCAAATCCTGTATGAAATTTCATTATTTTAAAGATAATTTTACTTTTTTAAGCACATGACTCAGAATTTTTGTGTCTTGAGAATATAATAATGTACAATGAAGGAATCTGAAATGCGCTAAGACTTGGTGTTACAACTACTTATTTGTGCAAAACTACCAAAGGAGAAACCATTTGCTGATGATCAGTGCAGTGTATTTACTGCACCACAGAAGGTGACTCTCCATCTAATTTCATTTTAGCCCGAGTTTAAATTTCACTTCAATGTTTATTTGTAAACATCAAGATGATATGGACCAGATCTTTCAGATGATACTGTTCTTGAAACAATAACTATGTGTGATTACAGGATTGAATTATCTTCAACTGCATCATCATCTAACTTTACTGAAATGTATGAATATATCTCCTTTAATAATAGCTTGCATCAGTCATTTCCAGGCATTGTCTTTTTATTTCTGAGATTTATTTTTTTTTTCCGTCTTAAAGAATCAAGATGAGAAAGAAATACTTCTCTAAACAGCAGTTATCTTCAACTGATATCTCTTAGTTCACAGGACCAGGGCATACACTCTGCTTCCTTTACCAAGAAATATCTCCTGCTCTAAACTGACAGCTTACATGCAGTCTACACACACATGAATAGTGTCACAACATTTTATCAAGTGCAGGAAATATCCATGACACATACAGTCATGGCAATATTCATGACCTTACAATAGGGAAAGGTGATTTTTCTTAAAATACAAACTGAAAGAAAAAAAAAGTTTTCACTGATTCATGTTCTCAGTCTCACACTCATGAGCAGCAACATGTTTGTGGTGACCTGACATCTGCACAGTAGCCATACATCACAATGCTTGTGTCAAAATATTAGATCCAGGAACAATTGCAATGGCATGGAGGACAAGTAACACTAACTGTCAAACCATTCTTGCGTCTTCTGAGTTTCTCTCAGGATGTGTAGGTTTTTGATATACATTTTTGTTCTCCTTTGGGTCTGGCAGTGATCAGTGTCTCCATTCTGTTCCGCTTCTGTGAATTACCAGGTCACCACCATTCTTCATCTCCAGGTCTGTGTCTTGTAAAGCTGGAGGTAGATGTGCTGGGGTCTAGATGACCTGCTAATCTGTGTGCCCTTAACACAGTCCATTCTGAGAGCCCTGTCCCTGCTGTATGCTCCTGCCTCCGCACTCAGCCATCCCCACGCATTCTCCATTCACACCAAGCTTAGTCTTCCTATTACAATTCTGTACAGCCTGACCAACAGAGATCTGTGATTAAATTGTAATGTCAGGTTACACTGACTGATAAAGAATCATGCTTTGCTTCTTGATAATCTTTCAGCTCTCCTGGTGCACTACATTTCAATCTAATACAACATGCAACCCAAGACAAAATTTGATTATGCATTTTCTACGTGTCTAAAACCACTGAGAGTTTGCTTTGATTTTTCAGGTAAGGTAGATTTTAATTATCTTTAGCTATCAAGAATGAAATTTGTACTTAGTTTTTTTCCAACTGGACATGGTTGCTACAATAAATCATATATAAGATTAGCTGCCCCATCCTAAAATAAATCTTTGAGGTAGAAGAAATCATCCTCTCATGAAAAGTATGTTTCCTTGTCACTGACAATAAGTTAGAATTGGGTTGCTCCAGTCAGTTGACTTTTGATTGGTTGAAGCTGCATAAGAGGAATCCCACTTCTAACAGAAACACAACTGGAAATGCTTCTAGATGTTCAGAGAACTATAAAGACCCAGAGCATATTCTGACCATCTAGCACTCACCAGAGGGCCATGGCTGGACTGAGAAGATACAGAAAATCAATGGAATTCAGGCACATAAGGCTGTAAATAATCTATTTAATAAATTTTAATAGTTTGAGTCTTAGAATGCTTGAAATGACTAATCTACAAAATAAGATCCTTCCTGCCTTGTTTCTGCTGTTCTAGCACTAGAGAAGAAAGACAACCCACTCCCCCAGACACTGTGGACAACCAAGGCATGGAAAACCTCAGCCAGAACCTACACCTGCCTTTCAAGAGAAAAAAAAACCAACACAAAACACTATCCCAGTTCCTAAAACTTTAGGAAGATAAAGGTCTGGATCTGCATTTTGATCAAAATGAAATTCACCTGACAGTTTCTGGTTTTGGACCAAACACAGGAATTTGATTAACTAACCTATAATGAAATCTTGCTATTCTTTGGAGATGAGGGGAACAAGCCACTACACTTGGTTTTTTTGTGGTTTTTTTTGTTGTTTTTTTTTTTTTCCTTTTATCTTTCCTCGGGTGTCCAGACACTTTCTGTTCAAGCTATGTACTGTAATGGCCTACAGTATGCTCAGCATTGTCTAAGCACAGAAGGGAACATCAGGAATGCCATTTTTGGAATAATCTCACTCTCTTACTACTTGTAATCTGACAGTATTACCAACTCTTGGAAATCAAAAATGAATTTTGTGTTGGATACACAATGTATGAAGTGCTGTTGCCAATACATGTTTAGGGATAGATGTCCCACAGGAAAAATAGGCTACAGATTGAGATATTTCCTTACAGAAGAACTGATATTTTATGTTTCCTGATGTGATGGAAATGAACCTCTTGTAAAGCTGTCATTGCATTGTCCTTATGAATGGCAACAAGTAGTTTACATTTATGGAAAAAAGACTCAACCTCTCATTTGTAACTGCAAGGCAACACAAGCACCATGGAAAAGCAGTCTCTGAAACAAAGGCAAATAACTTTTGCAGTGGTGACCACTGACTCGAAAGCCTTATGGAACAGCTGCTTCTGAATATCCTTTTAAGTCCATTGAGCCTTGATCCAGCTGTTAAAAATAACAATGTTTTTCATCCTCCATAGTAATCGGATATAGCAGGGCAGTGCTGGAGGACCAGTTGCATAAAAAAGCTTTAGTTATATAACTAAAACCAGGAAACTATAGGCCTGTCAGTCTGACCTCGGTGCCAGGGAAGGTGATGGAGCAGGTCATTTTGGGTGCCCTTAAAAATCATATCATGGAAAACCAGGTTATCAGGCCTAGACAGCATGGGTTTATGAAAGGCAGGTCCTGCTTGACAAACCTGGTCTCTTTCTATGACAAGATGACCCGATTGTTGGATGAGGGAAAAGTTGTGGATATTATCCTCCTGGATTTCTGAAAAGCATTCAACACGGTTCCCCATAGGATTCTCACAGAAAACCTGTCTGCCCATGGCCTGGATGAGCAAACAGTCTGCTGGGTCAAGCATTGGCTGGCTGGACGGTCCCAGACGGTGGTCAGTGGAGCTAAATCCAGCTGGTGGCCAGTCACAAGTGGTGTTCCTCAGGGATCAGTGTTGGGACCATTTCTGATCTTGATAAGGACATGGAGTGTATTATCAGTAAATTTGCAGATGACACCAAGTTAAGCGGGAGTGTCGATCTGCATGAGGATAGGGAGGCACTACAGAGAGACTTGGATAGATTGGATCGGTGCGCCAACGTCAGTGGGATGAGCTTCAACAAGGCCAAGTGACAGGTCCTGCACTTGGGCCACAACAACCCCCAGCATGGCTACAGGCCTGGGGAGGTGTGGCTGGAGCTGTCTGGAAGAGAAGGATCTGGGGGTTCTAAGTGACCAGCAGCTGAACATGAGCCAGCAGAGTGCCCGGGTGGCCAAGAAAGCCAACGGCATCCTGGCTTGTGTCATAGTGTGACCAGCAGAAGTAGGGAGGTGACAGTCCCCCTGTGCTCTGCACTGGTGAGGCCACACCTGGAGTGTTGTGTCCAGTTGTGGGCACCTCAATACGAGAGAGATCTCGAGGGGCTGGAGCGACTGCAGAGGAGGGCAACGAAGGTGGTGAAGGGCCTGGAGAACAAATCCTATGAGGAGAGACTGAGGGAGCTGGGACTGTTCAGTTTGAGGAGGAGAAGGTTGAGGGGAGACCTCATCACTCTCTACAGGTACCTGGAAGGACATTGTAGAGAGGTTGGTGCTGGTCTCTTCTCACAGGTGATTAGTGACAGAACAAGAGGGAATGGTTTTAAACTGCAACAGGGGAGGTTTAGATGGGACATTAGGAAAAATTTTTCACAGAAAGAGTGGTCAGACAGTGGAATGGGCTGACCAGGGAGGTGGTGGAGTCACCATCCCTGGATGTGTTTAAGGATTGTTTGGATGAGATGTTGGGGGATATGGTGTAGGGGAGAACTTTTTAGAGTAGAGCTGATGATTGGACTCGATGATCCAAAGGGTCTTTTCCAATGTGAATGATTCTATGATTCTAAAATGGATCATAGCTCCCAAGTCACAGAGATGCCAGGCGAGTCTGTGTGACAGCCTCCAACCACCCCATTAAAACTCAGTGTGCTCCAGCAGCATTTGCTGAAGGACTGACACTGATGCACCTATGCAAACAGCTGCAGAGCATTCTGCCGTGCCCAGATTTGGTTTCCTCTCTGCCCTTCTGTGTAGGAGGGTCATGGAAAGAGGCTGCATGTCTGTACCTCATAAGCTTACTCCTCTGGTGGCACTGGGTTTGTAAAGATATTCTGGACTTTGCACTGGGGCACCCAAGTCACTGCTCCACTCTCTGTGCTGCAGTGTCCATTGGAGAAGCAGGGTACATTGCTGAGACAGTTGCATCTCCTGATGTCATGGATGCATTCGCAGTGGTCACCTCTCAGACCCCCTGGGTTGTTGTCTGGACCTCTGTAGCTTCATGCTAACAACCACCCTGAGATGATGCTCCACTTTCCTTTCTCCTGCTTCCCCAGGAGCCAAATTGGCACCCACCTGGGATACATTCCTCAGGTCACATTTTGAGATCAAGAGATCAGAAGTTCCCCAGCAGCAAAGCACTTAAGCATAAGCACAAGCTGAAATATTCAAGCAGTCCCTCTGGAAGTCAGTAGGACATTTCACACTGTTAAGAGCTTCTCTGGATTGGTCTCAGACTGAGTTTGAACTTTGCTGTTTTACTTACCATAAGATTAACTAAGGATGAATGAAAGCGGAAACAGATAAAACTTACCTTTTAAAGAAGCTGAAAATGAAGACAAATATTTCCCTGAGGATTTACCAGCAGTAAGGTTGGAGAAACTGGCGTGGAAAAATGAGAGACCTATTTCCACAGAGGTCTGCTACCTATTTTTAGCAGCAAACTTTCAGCTGATATTTCTTTGTATGCTTAGAACTGCACTACATGTTGCAGTTCGGGTTTGCAGGATGTGAAAATCCAGAAGTCCCTGGCAAAGTAATAATCGTCTTAATTAAGAGAAATTAATTCAGCTGATCTTAACTCAATGCACATAGGCAAGATGGGGTTTGTTCTATTATTATCTCATGCCAGGAAAACTCCAGAGTTGAGAGAGAAGAGACTTATCCAGTAAAACACCTGATAAATGCATTATACCTCAGGGCATAAAAATGTCTTTGAAGTCACATCAACCCTGGTTTGCACAAAACGCAGTAGAGATTGACATTGGTAGGCACTCAGAAAACATTTTTCCCTCCTCACTATAACCCTCCTTTTCCAGCGCTGACCGTGACTGAAGCCAGCCTGCTGCTATGAGAGTGGGAATTGCTTCGATGCGGGCCCTTTGGGCAGATGCAGTGTGTGTAGAGAACATTCAGGCATTTTGGGTACTTACCCATGAACCACAAGAATGCTGAAGAGTTTCCAGTTTGCAAAGTACATACCAGGTCCAGACCTCTGAACATCTTGAAGAATGATTTTAAGGAAAAGAAGTTCATTTTCAAAGACTTCATATTAAGCCAAGCAGAAATCCTGAGGTTAATATATTTGTGTGGGGATTTGACTTTGGCTAAACGCCAGGTACCCACCAGGTCGCTCTATCACTTCCTCCCCTTTTCCCCTTCTCAACAGGGCAAAAGAGGGGAAAGAAAATAAGATAGACCAACCCTTGTGGGTAAAACAAAAGCAGTTTTAATATAAGCAAAGCAAAGCAAAGGTCTGCGCATGGAAGCAAAAATAGAATAAAACAGATTTAGTCTCTACTTCCCATGAAGAGGCGATGTGGGGCCTTCTCAGGAAGCGGGGCTCCAATACGCGTAGTGGTTGTCTCGGAGGACCAAGAGTGACCCCCACCCCCTTCCTCCTTTCTCCCAGCTTTATACTGAGCAGACGTCATATGGTCTGGAATATCCCTTTGGTCAGTTTTGGTCAGCTGTCCTGGCTGTGTCCCCTCCCAAGATCTTGCCCACCCATCCCACAGGGGAGGAAAAATGTCGGAAAGAGCCTTGGTGCTGTGTAAGCACCACTCAGCCGTAGCCACAACACCAGGGTGCTACCATCACCTGACAGCTCCCAGTATAAAACACAGCACCGTGAGGGCTGCTGTAGGGGAAAACCAACTCCCGCTCAGCCAGACCCAGTACAGTCTGTTTTCCTCAAAGGCGTCCTGTCTCTGACCTTATGTGGTACCCACCCATGGGTACCAGAGCCTGGAGGAGGATTGCCAAAATCTGTGTGGCTGAACATGTAGTAGATAGAAAGGCCGTGCTTGAAGGAATGGTCAGTCTGAAGCATGTACCTTCCGATGGGTGAGTAAGATTGCTGCTTGTCTTCGGAAGACTTTGGAAGAAAGAACCATTGGAAGCTACTCAGCTCCAGGAAATATCCAAGTGAAGGTAAGAAGAGCATCCTAAAACTTGCTGAAAATGCATGGTAAGTCTCACCAGTACAAAGATGCAGCTGGTAAGTTCACCAGACGTTTTCCTTCTCTTTTCAGCTGTACATGAGGTGCTGGGCTCTGCCTGATGCTATGGCTTCAGTGAGACCTCAGAGAAAGCAAACCCACCTCAAATAAAACCTCACAGGTTTTGATCTGTCAAAATCATGAGAACTTAAATTGGCATATTTCACACAGCTCTGGTATTTCCCTTCCTCCTGCCTGCAGTTTCCTATCATCTAGGGTACCATTTGCTCAATCTATTACAATGCACTCTTGATTTCAATCTCCCACTTTGCGACCTTAGAGCATTTTCTTCCCGCAAAGGATCACAATATAAATCACTAGGTCAGGGAATAATGAGTCTAGTATTTTTAAAAAGCCTCCCACACACAGGCAGGATTTCGACTGATGATTCAGCAGGTGATGGGCTGTAATAAGGGGACATTTTTTTCCTTTAATTGCTGTTGAAAAAGAAAAAAGGAGTAAGAGAAATACTTCATTTTCTGAGACAAGGATCTTAACTTCACTGGGCTTTGGTTCACTAGAATCACCTAATAAGCTTGAGCATAAAGAGCTGGACAAAGCTGAAAGGATAAACAAACTAGTGAAAGACTCCAGCATGACTTTCTCTTTCAAATCTGAAAAATGGATTAAATATGATTCTACCATTATGTAAAGAGACAGTGAGAAAAGGCTGACCTAGTGGTCTGTGAACTGGATGGGGTGCAGGATTTCCCAGAATCTAACCCTGTCTCTGCCAGACCTGTTTGCCCCTGACTGCAGGGGTACATGTTCAAAGAATCGCAAACACAAAGTCCAGAAAGGACCATATGACTCACCTCACTGAACTGCTGCAAAAACTATCAGGCATTTTTGCCCAGTAACTTCTGCACTGAGTTAGCTAGTTCTTTGAGCAAGGTGAGGGTCACCAAGGACACACTTGTGTCAAGCATGGCTGACAGGAGCTGTGTGTGGATCATGTTTTCTTTTTTAAATTATTGGTTAAAGATGCTAACATAAGCTCTGTGGAAGGCAGTAGAAGCTTTCTCAGAAGCAATATGCAGACAAAATTTCTGCCAGCAGCACCTGGTGTCTGCATGAGAAGTGAACTCCCAGTTCCTACCCAGCAAGCAGTGGGAACAGAACCATCTCCTCTTAACGATCTCATTCCTAACCATAGCGGCTGCCAAGTCCATCCCTGGCCCAACCCAACTGCGTCACCCAGAGCCTGCACACGTCATCTCTGGCTGTTGAACCTACAGCAACCCCACAAGATGTCAAGATTTGGCAAAGAATTTACAATTCTTGCAGGTAGATTTTGTAATAACTAATTCTTTCACTTTACAGAGGAGGAAAATCAAAGAGTCAACCTGGTGATTTATGGTTTCTTATAACGAAACCTTGTTTTTAGGTCTTCATATTCCTTTAAATAAAAGTTAATAGACATCACGCTGCCAAAAGGGCAGAAAAATTCATTGGGTAAGAGGTGGGATGACCTTGAAATTAAATGTTGCAGAAGTGAAAATGTTTCGACTGACAAAAAGTAACATTTTAAAACCCCCTATGCACAGATGTTAAAACATCTGAAGGAACTGAGTGACCATTTCAGTGGAAAATATGCTAAATCGTGGTAATCTACAGCATCTTAATGTAATATGCTGTTTACGGTATGTAAATCCAAGGAATTCCCCTTCTTCGTCAAATATGTATCAGATATACTCAAAAACGCCCCTGTTCACCTATCACTTTACAGAAGTTTCTTTATTCCTTGAAACAAACAAAAACTCCTCCAAACCTAAACCACACAACCTCCTTCATAGAAAAGTTCAACCAGACATTCAGAAATTAAAGCTCAAGAACAAAGAATGTATTTTTACTGTTTGTTTCTACCCTGACCCTGTGTTTTCTCCTCATATTTTATACTCCCTCCTACCTGAAGCTTTCTTATCTGAAGCTCATTCTCTCTTCAGTTTGACCTGAGGTCAAATGTATCATTTATTTCCATGATACCCTTCAGCATTTTGCATTTCCCTGTGAAGTCCTCAGCCAGCTTGCTCTTTACTAAAGATTAAAGAAGGTTGTTTTTCATGCTGTTTTGAATAACAAGAGTGTAAATCTGCAAATGCCTCTAGTACATTCTCATGCCAGTCTTGCCATCTGCACCCTTTCCTCTTCATTTCCAGGAGAAGAAACTGCCTTCAGAGTTTCTGTGGTATTGGCCTTTTGTACACCAAGGGAGGTGAGCACTTTTGCAGAATTTACAGGCTGTGATAACGTCCCAGTGATCTTGAGAGAGTTACTAATACACTCAGAGACAACAAGTAAGATGACAGATAACATACTCGAAATACCTGAATCCCCATCCGGCAATTCCTGATTTGCAGAGACTCAATTCAGAAGTAAACTCACAGTCAACCAGTTTACAACTCCCAAGCTGAGCAGAAGGGGAAATCTGATATGAATCTTGTGTCAGATGCTATCTCCAGGTCAGTATCTTCTCCACTAACAATGGATATAGAGTGCCACAACTCAGGGATTCAGTCTGTTGTAAAAAGTGTACATGGCTTTCAGGATGAAAGAGAGATGT